CACAGTGGCCACAGAAATAACAGAACATGTTTGTCACTTCACAGTTTTCATTATATATATATATATATGATCTCATCACAGCTACAGTGATCTTGGCATAAATTACCTCATATCACTTTCTTGTTTAAATCCCTCCAATAGCTCTCTGTCACACTCAGAATAAGAAACATCCATCCTTTCTTCTCTGACCTTTTTTCCTATTTTGTTTTGTTTTGTTTTGTTTTGTTTTGTTTTTATCATGATAAGTGTACTCCTTAATCCCATCCCCTATTTCCCCCAAGCCCCCACCCACCTCCCCTCTGGTAACCATCCGTTTATTCTCTATAGTTAAGAGTCTGTTTCTTAGTTTGTCTCTCTCTCTCTCTTTTTTTCCCTTTGCTCATTTGTTTTGTTTCTTAAATGCCACATATTCCACATTCCCTTACTCACTATGCCACATATTCCACATTCCCTTACTCACTATACTCCAGATGGTCTTCTCTTGGTTCTACAAACAACAGTCCTGTATCCATATCTTGTCCTTTTCCTGTGCTGCTCCTACAGATCCATCAAGGGACTGGTTCCCTCTTCACTCAGGTCTAGGCTCAGCTACCACCTTTCAGCAGGGTGACCTGAGCACTATCTAAAGTATCCACCCCCACCCATCCTGCCAAGTCACTCTTTATCAGATTATTCTGTTTCATTTTCTTCCTAGCTCTTATTATTTCTAAATTTCTTTTCTTGGTTTACCTTTTTAAAATTATTTTATTATGTTATGTTAATCACCATACATTACATCATTAGTTTTTGATGTAGTGTTCCATGATTCATTGTTGGTGTATAACACCCAGTGCTCCATTCAGTACGTGCCCTCTTTAATACCCATCACCAGGCTAACCCATCCCCCCAGCCCCCTCCCCTCTAGAACCCTCAGTTTGTTTCTCAGAGTCCATAGTCTCTCATGGTTCGTCTCCCCTTCCGATCCCCGCCCCCCCCCCGCTATCTTTCTTCTTTTTTGTTTACTTTTTATTGTTAGTCTTTTCCCCTTGACTAAAATGTAAGCCAAAGAGAGCAGAGTCTTGTTCTGTTTCACTCACTGCTGTATTTCTCCTCCTAGAATCTGTTTGGCATATAGCAGGTATTCAATAAGTATTGGTTGAGTGAGTGAATAAATGCATTTGATAATGCCTTAATGTTTTGGGATGGAAACCCTTAGCCCCTTTCTAGTCTCATTTTTAGATATTCTCCTTAGGTAATTTCATCTCCAATGGCTTTTTATACCACTCTCACTATTTGCCTCCAGCTTGACTCTTTTTTTCTGTCTCCCATATTTGTTGTTTATGTAATTTTGACTTACATCATCAAAGATGCTCTTGACTGTTGAGGAATAGGACCCCAGGGGGATCAGCATTAATATTACAAAATGTTGATACATTTAACATTTTGTATTTAGAAGGAACTTAGATTTTCTCTACCCCCAATGCATGACTTTACATGTCGATGAAGAAAGTTCAAGAAAATAGCAAGCCCAAATCTCACAACCGGTGTGTGGCAAAACCCAGAACTTCCAGGGTACATTACTACTTCCACAGTAGTTATCTGCCTATTAGACTCTACCTCTCCTTTTGCTAATGACACCACACACACACACACACACACACACACACACAGAGTTTTATTTTATTGAGATAAAATTCACATACCATGAAATATATGCATACCCTTTAAAAGTGTGCAATCCTGTAGTTTCTAAGGTATGCATGGGATTGTGAAACCATGTATTTAATTTTAGAACATGTTCATCACCCCCCAAAGAAACCCCATATCTATTTGTCGTCACTCCCGCCCCCCTCCCCTTCATTTCCCCTCCCCTTCTCCGGCCCTAGGAAACCACTAATCTACTTTCTGTCTCTACAGACTTGCCTATTCTGAACATTTCATGTAACAGAATCATACAACATGTGGCCTTTTGTGTCTGGCTTCTTTCACTTAGCTTAATGACTTCAAGGTTCATCATGCTATAATTTTACCTTTTTGTTTTGCTTAACGCCTTTTCTCTAACTGCCTTATTTTAATATCTGTCTTTGAACAAAAATTAAACTCTGAATATCCTGGAAGCCAAAGGCAAAAAAGAAAAACACAAATATGTTACTCCACTCTAGTTAGCTATAAAGGGAACACACAGTTTCTCAGGAGCAGAGAGTTTTTGTAGCCCTACATTTTGAGGGGAACCCTCAGTGCAGCCCTGTTTTACCATACAGCTCTGTCTTTTTATCATTTAAGGTGTTTTCCTTGTTTTCTTATTATACTATCTCCGGGTCCCTTTGGGTTTGGCACCCAGAGCAGTATCGAGAAGGGAGAGAGAACGACCTTGTGGTGTCCTCAGTGACTCTTCTCTTTGTGGGGACAAGTGGGAATTCTTACTTAATTTTTTTTTTTTTAAGATTTTATCCATTTGACAGAGAGAGACACAGCAAGAGAAGGAACACAAGCAGGGGGAGTGGGAGAGGGAGAAGCGGGCTTCCCCCCCGAGCAGGGAGCCCGATGCGAGGCTCAATCCCAGGACCCTGGGATCATGACCAGAGCCGAAGGGAGACGCTTAACGGCTGAGCCACCCAGGCGCCCCTACTTAATTTTTAATAACATTCCAATTTAACCTCCACTTTTAATTCTCAAGATCTTTCTTCCATCTTTGATCACAATCCTTACTTCCATCTCAAATTTGTGGAATATTTTTACAACTTACTCCTGAAAGGGTAGAGCACTTTGCCAACCTTGATTCTAAAATAGGTCTCAAATAATGCAAATACTCTAGTAGATGCCAGGAGAGGACAAGCAGTTATATGTAGGGAGAGATGAAAAGAGGAATATGATTGTTTGCTGATGTCTGCCTCCGGGTTTGGGAAAAGGAAAGTTCTGGCATTTATGCTACATCTCACATTATTTTTTTTCTTTTTGGGGATCTGAGGTACAGAGAATTAAATTAAAATCATGCTTCTCAACTACAGCAGACTATCATCAGTTCATGCAAAGTCTTTTGTTTTAATTTTTGTTTTTGTTTTAATTTTCACCTTGATCTCTAATCTTTGCTCACATTCACCTCCCTCTTATGCATGCTTTCCTTCTGCATTTGGTACATGTCCTTAAGAGACATGTATCTTTAGAAACTATTTAGTGTTAGTGGATGTGAATGAGTAATTACATTAATATTGTGACATAAATCTCATTCTGTTGCTATTTTTTTTAACTCACCACTTCATCTTTAAAGCTAATTCATGTTGCTGGATTTACATTGACTCTATTGCTCCAACTGCTGCATAATGTTTTATGGTATGTTATCCACCACCTTTTACTTTTCCATTCCTCTAGCAATGGAAACCTGTATGGAACAATGACATAGTGAACATCCTCATACTTGTCTCCTTAGAGGCCTGAGGAAGAATTCCTTTGGTTTGTATGCCTAAGAGAGGGATTGGTGGGCCATAGGATGCAAATACACTGTTGTCTTTAGCAGCTTCCCTTGTGCATAACTGGCATCCTCTCAGTCCTACCTCCTGTATTACCTATTGCTGCAGGGATCAGAGCTTGGCAGGTGCACAGGCTGTCACCAGCTTGGCACCCATGGGATGTGGTACAACCTTGCTTCTTATTTCCTGCTCTGGGACTTCACTAAGGCAGAGATGCAGAACTCAGGGAACCTGCTCAACACTCATGCCTACACAATTAAGTGGGGGAATGGGGAGGGGCAGAGGTTAATAGTCCCAAAGCTACTCTTGACCTTTTGGAGGGTAGGAGCCAAGGGATAAGTATGTTTCCTTGAATTCCCCTGGGAGGAAGTTCTGAGACATAGTTCATAAGACTCTTACCAAGTTCCCTGTGGGGTTGAGTACAAGTTGCCAACTTGAAAACACATCCTGGTACTGGTTTTGCCTTTTCCCTAGTTCAGTCCTCCAGTTCCTCATTCCTGCTCCCTGTTATTACTTCCCAAATCAACTATCTATAGATAAGCTTTGTCTCAGGCTCTGCTTCCAGGGGCTTCCCAGAGTACAACATTATCCCTAAGTACTGCTAGACTGCTGTCTAGGGGATCTGGGCCCTAATCTGGAGAATCTGGCCAGCCTCCAACTTGGGGACCAGAGACTGGGCCATTTCAAAACTGCAGAGGGCCACCTTTTAACAAGAGGCTTTGCCTCTGCTTGGAAAGCTCCCGAGGTGGGATCTTTCATTGGTGGATCAGTGATTTTTTTTAATACTTCCTGCAGTTATTTTCAAAATGTGGTTGTGGGGTGCCTGGGTGACTCAGTCAGTTAAGCATCTGCGTTCGGCTCAGGTCATGATCCCAGGGTCCTAGGATCGAGCCCCACATCGGGCTCCCTGCTCAGTGGGGAATCTGTTTCTCCCTCTCCCTCTGCCTGCCACTCCCCCTGCTTGTACTCTCTCTCTCTCTCTGTCAAATAAATAAAATCTTTTTAAAAAAAGTGGTTGTAATATACATACATGCCCTGGTGATTATAAAATATTTCCCCCAGACATTGACCTCTGCCCTCATAATTTCTGATTTCTGATGTATGGACAGTAGACTCATCCTGGGATGTTCCATAACAGAGTATTAAGAAAATTTCCTTTTCAATTCTTGTTAATATGGAAGCATCACATGATTTATGCTTTCCAGTGAAGGGTGTTAGAGTCAGCTTATGTCCTGGAAAATGCAGTTGTTCTAACGGTCATATTTTCACTTGGATTTACTTAGGGAAAAATGATCATTTCTTTGAGTGGACATATGTCAATGTTAATGCTTGTGTGTATGTGTGTTGTGTGTGTGTGTGTGTGTGCACGGGCGCACATGTGTGTGTGTGCATGCCAGCTCACTGTGTGGGGTGAATCATCATGGAAAAAGCACAGATCATGACCACCTGGGAGCAGGGTATTGGCAGAACTCCATCAAGGGAATGTGTCCTCCTTCTCACTTGCAAACAACTTTTAAAAATCTCCTCCCCCTTCTGCTTTTGTTGTGTGAACAGGTGGTTAATACATATACCCCAGGAAAGAAGATTTGGCTTGAAGGTGTGGTGACCACCTCAGCTGGAGGCACAAACAATCTATCAGATTCCTATGCTGCAGGATTCTTGTGAGTAACACGTGCAGTTTCACTCCCAGGGACTTTGAGGAAAGGACAGTGAAGTGGTACTGCTCATTACTCTGCCCACTGGAGGGGGAAGGTTCATTTCTCACTGAAAGTTCTTTATCTGTTCCTTTGTGAATGGGTGTAACCCATGCAACAAACAGAGATGAGTGACTTCTCTAGACACTAAGATGTCAGGTACAGGCTTCAGGGCGAAGACAGTAGTAGTAATAGTGGTAGTAGTGACCATATAGCCATAAGACCTTTATTTAATAGCTATAGTTCAAAGACAGTGCCTACAACATATAATTTCTCATCTAATATTCACCATAGTCCTAGGAGACAGGTAAGAGTAAGATTGGAGGAACAGAGACAGGAGATAAGAAAAGGTAGAGGAGATTAGTGTCATAATAATAATAATTTTAACTCTATGTGCCACATGCTTTCTGAAGTGCTATCTAATAACTGAACAACCAGTGAGACAGATACTACTATTTTACAACCACCCAATGAGATAGATGTGAGAGCTTGAACTCAAGCCTAGGCAGTCTGCTTCAGAGTCTAGCCTCTTTGCCGCTACCTTAGACCTCTTTCTTTTCTGCCTCACATAGTCTGTCCACAAAAAGAAGTGGTAGACAGTCAAAGGAATCAGGAATTTCTCTGATAGGAAGATCAGCAAGGGCTTCATGGAGGAGGTAGCATTTGAGGGGGACATAGAAAGGTGACTGTACTTTCTACAGGTGGAGAGTGGTGGTGATGGTGGAGGGGAGCATTTGAGGCAGAAGGAACACTATGGGCAAAGGCACAGGGGAGGGGAAATGGGTCGTGTGATGAAAGCTTCAGGAGCAGCAGGAATATAGTGAGGACTGCAATGGGGGGGTGGTTCTCTACCAATCGTGGAAGGTTGTGAACGCCAGTCAGAGGAAGTGAAGCCTTGTTCTACACTCAGTGGCAAGCCACGGAAGACTTTGGAGGAAGAAAGAGACACCGTCTGACCTGTGTTTCCATGTTGGCTTTGGGAATAGTATGCACAAGGGTTTGGAGAGGCAAGCGATGGGACAATGGACTTGAAGGCTTCTGCAGCTATCTGGACAATGACTTTAACACCGAAGCATAAGGGGCTCTCACTGGCCTGCCAGCATCATATGGCGGGGCAGACCCCTCAGGACCACAGACTCACCAAGTGACCACTCTAGTCCCGTGGCCCTGGTTTTTTGGTCTGCGGCAAAGTCCTCCTAAGAGCTGAGCTCTGCCCTCAGCTTTGTGTTTCCTTACTAACAGCTGTTCCTAATTAAACACATGTAGTTTGCCCCCATTAAGGCAGCTTCTTGAATACATTTGTAAAGGACAAATCAGAGCGGTCAGGCAGATTGTGTTTGCAGATGGAATCCTGGCACATGCAGATGAAGATAATGAGTCCAAAAAATATATGATGGTACGCTGGGTCTTCCATGCCTGTGTTCCCAGCACCTAGCATTGAGTGGCACAGAGCAGTTGTTCGATGAGCATGGTTCCAGTGAATGAAAGGGAATGAATCAGCATTTGATACAGTGGTTCTGAGAGTCTTCTTTCAAAAATACACTCCCCACCAGGTTTCCTTGTGAGCCGTGGAGCAAGGGCAAGAAACAGTTAGGACGACAGGGGCCTCTTAGAACCAGCAGAGGAATGGCTTTTGCTCAGCCATCATAGACAGACTCTTCTGCCAGGCGAGCAAGCAGCCCAGTTGTCCTGAGTGTTTTCATGAGCATGCTTCCCTTCAGGGAATGATGTGAAATGGGAAACACTACAGCCCTTCATGGAGGGAGCTGGAGAGAGACCTGCCTTTTCATGAGCACCAGCCAAATCTCCATAGATCTCTGTGGCCACTTTGCAAATGCAGATTAACATAGTTGTTCAGGGTTAGGTTGTCGTTCAGGTATCCAGTGTGTAGTGGACACAGATCAGTTGAAAACTAGCTCACTTGGCTCCTGGTCTTCTCTCTTACCTCTTTATCACCAATTTGCTCTCCCCTCTGCTGGCAGCACCCAGCCAAGTGTCCTTTGAGTCTAGTTCTCCAAGGAGCATAAATTGCTTCCTGGGGAGAATAAAGCGTTCTAAGAAGCTCTAGAAAGCTAGCAAGATTCCTTGGAAAGAAGGCATCTTTCAGGCTTTTTTCAATATATGGCATAACAACGAGCTTACAAGGACACTTGCACATTTATGCACGAGTCAGAACTTTCTGATTCCAGCCAAGGCTTTGAGACTCTCTGATGCACTACAGACACACCCTTGGCATACTGCCGTGTCGCCAGCACCTGGTAGTATCTGCCACCCAGTCAGTAATCAATCTATTTGTGTGGAATGGAAACTCCTGGCTACAATAGCATCCTTGGTGGGATGTACCAGTTGTCTTGCCACCTTTCACTGAAAGGGAGACTTGGAACACCATCTATCTCCCCTCTCCGAGGGCTTATTATTTACAGGAGGAAGAGGATGATAACTTCCTCTCACCGTCTCACTCTGAAAAGCACAGGGAAGCAGGGGTTCTGGTCATAGTCATTTTGAATGCTCCAGGCCCTGGATGTGCATATAGGATGTGGGTTTGGAAAGGAGGATGCATCTTCTTCCCTCTCATGTTAGAGTTCTTTCAAAAACTACCCATACTAGCAAAAACACCCCCCAGGTTTACCAGTTAACATTAGTTTGTTGAGTATATATTCTTTGCACATCACTGTTATAAGAAGGTCTATCGAGGTCACAAGTAGGAATTTGATACCATTCCTATAAATGAGTATACAGGTATTTGCATACCCAGTGCTTTACAAATGACTCACATGTTCACACAGGCATTTTTGTGTCTATCCTCAGTGCTGAGAACAAGGCCTTGCATTTACAGCTGATTAATTCATGTTGAATGAGTAATGAATGAATGAGCAAATGGGATATTTTAAATACCAAAATACAGTCCTGTATGGATATCCAGCTGCTGCTAGATGTGATAATGCATTTACTCATCATTTTGTTTCTTTGTTCAGCAAGCATAGGGATAGAAGGGTGAATAAGACATACTTGCTTTTATAGGTAAATATTTGTTAAATATGGACTCTGTCGTATTTGTTGCATTGGTGGAGAGAGCACTGATTTAGAGCATCAACCCAGAATTCATGTTATAGTTCTACCCCAGGATATTTAATACTGTATCTCAGTATTAGTATATATTAACTTGTTAGTTATATAATTAATTAGTTATATATTTAGCATAACTAAATCTGGTATCCTGATTTCACAGGGTTGGTAAATTCCAAAGCAATCTTATGTCCCAGTCTGAACAACAACAGCAACAACAAAAGTTCAGTTGTATTATTGTCAGATTTTCTTTTTGATTTAAAATTTTTGTTTTGCATTTTGCTTTGTTTTATTTTGTTTTTATAATTCTAATTATCAGTAAATATTTGTTAGTTTTTATGAGAACAAAATACAATTGTCAATGTGAAAAAGATTTTAAAATGTTAATAATATCCATTTATAATATAAAAATTAACAATGCTTTTTATTCCCATAAGGAAAAAGTTTAATTCTACAAGTCACTGATTTGGAGTTCCATATGGTTTCAAATTTGGGAAATCATAGTTATGCATTATTTGTCCCTAGTGTGCTGAATGGTGATTCTCAAAGTTCCTTAAATCTAATTTTATCCAGATCAATTTCAACTTAACAAAGAGTACGAAGCACCTACGTGTGCTAGGAACTGAGGTGGATATTTTGGGTACAAAGCTAAAACCTGTCTGTTCTCAGTGAGCTCCTAACCAACTGGGGGACAGCAGAGAAATAAGGAAGTAATTATCGTGGGCTGGCAGAGGGTATAAATAAGAGTTCTGTGAAGGTATAGAGGAAGAAGGTACCACTGTTGGCTGGGACAGCAGAGTTTGGAAGAAGACACTTGACTTGGAGATGAACAGATGGGAAGAAATTTGCCAGATGAGGTGAGGTGGGTTAGAGGAGGAGAGAAAGGGAATTCTAAGCAGAAGTTAAAACATGTATGAAGACTCAGGTGAGTATGTGAAAGCATGGTGAGTCTGGGCAGCCTAGTGTAGTTATAGGTGGCTTAGAAGCAGGGAATGGAGTTTAGGGTGAGAGAAGAGGGGAGAAGAGGTACAGAAGAAGGCTCACATGTGTGCTCAGGAAAGATTGTGAAACACCTTATCTTTTATACCGTAAGACTGAAGCTCTCAGTCACGTTTATTATATATATATAATTACAATTAGAAATTTCCCAAAGTTTTAGAAGTAGGAATACAAAGAGAAAATTAAATGAATGAGTAAATGAGTGAACAAATTGAATGCATAAATAATAAGGGCAGAGTTAGTGGTGGTGTTGAAAGAACCAAGAGGGCAGTATTTTTGAAGGATAGCATGCCCCGGAAAGTGGGTATTTGGCATAGTGGAGTATGTGATTACGTGTGAGCAATGCAGGTCCTCCATTATGATGTGTGTGATGGTAGCATAGTTGAAGCTCTGCATGGTTAATTATAGTACCAAGTAAAATTATTGCATTGACTGCTGACAGTGATATATGAGAGATGCAAATGGCTGGACCATTCTTGCCTAGGTCATAGGTGTATGTGAGTTAGAGTCACATGAAAGGTACATGTACAGGACAGGGTGCAAGCAGGGGAGTTTGAGTGATGGAAAGTATAGTGTCTATGCTCCTGTGATTGTGTGTCCTGTGGCCAGGGGGTGGGGAGGGTGATAATTAGGCTTACAATGGCTAGGGTATTCATTTTATTTGTTAGTATTACAGGGATAAGATAAGTCATTAGCAACAAGATATTTTATGACAAGGGCAATTCATTTTACTCCCTTGGACCTGTTTCTTTTCCTATAAAATGAAGAGGTTGGATTTGATAATCCCTAGAATGTCTTCCAGCTGTGTACTCAATGCTTAAAATACTATCTTCTCTTTTAAAGTACTAGGTAAATTTCATGGTGGGTATTGGTGATATGTGTGTGTGTTAGGCAGTCCCTATAGAGCTTATTATATGCAATTTTTAAGATGTATTGATGTAGCATTTTTCCTGCTTTTTTAGATGGTTGAACACTTTGGGAATGCTGGCCAATCAGGGCATTGATGTTGTGATACGACACTCATTTTTTGACCATGGATACAATCACCTCGTGGACCAGAATTTCAACCCATTACCAGTAAGTGTGAGATAAAGATTCCCAACTCCTCTTCCATGTCCCTCAGTTATTTGACCATGCCTTGTTCCACACTGAGAGAATTTTTCTCCTCCCTCTGTAACCAGGTAATTTTATAAATTGGACAGAAGTATTCATGTCTTTGTTCTCTTGACCCATTTCACAGACTTTTGGCTTCACTACACACACACACACACACACATCTATGTGCACACACGCATATATACATATGCATGTGTGCATATACATACATACATTTATGTATTTATTTACTACTATTATTTTAAAAAACTTTGTGCAGTTGAGATTCCACATCTACTTGTGGCCTGTTTGAACTGTGCTTGAGAGTGAATTTTTCCAGATTATTTTCTTTTAATGCTAATAGGAGACATTAGTTAACGTCAGATGCAACATGTTGAAAGCAGATGGGAGCGTGTTGGCCAAGATCAGATGCAGTAGGAACCCATCTCTTAGGGAGTAGCTGAAGTGCACTTGCAGTTAGGTGTTGATCCCTATGTGACAACGAGGGGATTTGCCCAGGACACCAACTTCCCTAGGAAAGAGAAGGGAAGGGGAGGCTAAAGAAGACTGGCAAGAGCAGTGATTTTGGTTTGTTGGGTGACAGTATTGACCTATCAGAGAGATCCCACTTCGTCCAGAGAAGCTGCACTCATCAGAAATATTACGTGGGTCATCTTTTTCACAGACATCATGGTCACAGAGAAAGGTCAGACTTCTCTCACTAGCTCATAGACTGTCAGAGCTGGGATTCCCCTTTGAGGAGATCCAGTTGCACCTCCTGTAACAGAGGAACTGATAGTCTGAGTAGAGGGGAGAGGAAGATATAGAACCAGCTCTAGAACCCTTGCATGTGCCCTAGTCCAGTACTCTTCCTACAAAATTACTCCTGCCCTTGGATCCACAGTAAGCAAATCCAACTGGAACCAGTGAGTGTTCCTGTCATTTGCTTCCCTCTGCCTATTTCTGCCCTGCATTCCCCTCATTTTCACTCCTACCCTGAGCCAGGAGGCTGGTTTCCAAGCCCAGAACAGAGAACAATTTGGCATCCAATGGTACTATTTCCGTGTTTCAAAAGAATCCCTATAGATTAGAGGATGAAGTAATTATTGTATCACTGATTGTACATGACTCCAGTTAAGTCACAAATACTAGAACTGACTGGCACAGTTGCTTTTATTCACAGGGCCAGGCTACCTCTCTCAAAGTGTGGGGGGGGGGCAGGGGGGGCTAATGTACAGTGGAGAGGAAATTTTCAGGTTGGAACATATGTTTTTTTGTTTGTTTGTCTGAGCTTATAAACCTGTGGAGATAAAACAAAATAATAATTAGAAAAGTCTCCGTGAAATGTCAGCATTAAACAAATACAATGTCACACAAAAATAAATATTTATTAACCATCAGGCACTGGGGAGGAGACTAGTAATAAATAAATGAATAAACAAATAGTAGAGTACTATACCAAGGAGTCAGTGAGGGCCCCTTTGGAGTGAGTGTATGGGAAGGCTTCTCTGAGAAGGTGACATTTAAGCCAAGAGCCCAATGACAAGAAGGAGCCAGCCATCTGGATTTTTCAGGCAGGGGAAGGGGCTAGCACATAGGTTCCAAAGTGGAAATGGACTTTGCATGTTTGAGGAAACACAGGACACCAGAGTGATGGGAGCCTGGCAGAGAAGGGGGAGACTGGTTGGATATGAGGCCACCCAGGGGTCAGATCCCATAAGGCTTTGTAAACTAACAGGAGTTTGATTTTATTGTAGGTAGTATGAAAAGCCAGTGGAGGGTTTTAAGCAGGGAAATAATATGATCTAGCTTTTATTTTTAAAATATCACCCTGGTATAATTAATGCATCAACTATTAGTTATCATTGTTTTAATAATGTGGGTAATACTTAATAATTTACAGACCACTTTCACATATGGTACCTCAATAATGCTCCATCCATTCTGTTCTCCCTTTTCTCTGTCCTTCCTTCTTGCCTTATTCCCTCCCTCACTCAAATCTCATTCACTCCTCTTGATCATGTACTACATGCTGATCATTATTTTTGGCAGTGAGCCTCTTTGATGAACCAAAAAGACAAGGTCCCTGAATTCTTGGAGCTTATAAGCCAATAAAACATAGTGAGAAATAGAAAATAAATAAACATATAAACAAGATAATTGCACTTTGTTATAATTTCTCTGAAGAGAGCCTGGTGAGAGAAGTAGGACTATTTATACTTACTTTGCTGAAGAGAAACTAGGGTTCTATGAAGATATTAAGTGGCTTATCCAAGGTCCGACAAGTACTGGGAACTGGGACTCTCAGAGTTTTGCAGTTCTAAATCTGATTTTCTTTTCTCTTCTTTGTGGTACTCTTTGGTGTCTGTCCTGTGGTCTGAGGCCAATATTTGCCTCAGTTGGGCCTGGAGATGGAAACGGACATCTCAAGGAACAGGAGAGAAGAAAACCCTAGGCTAGAAAAAGATGGTCTTTGGGTGACTAGACAGACTGGATTTCCAGAGTTGGACAAACCTGGGTTCCATATCAACTCTCTGTGTGCCTTTGCAGGCATATCTAGGTTAAAGATGCAAGTCCTGCTGGCTTTGTTCTCCTCAAATGAGAGTTGCTACGGGTAACTTCCTTTCAAAGCATGGCACAAGAGACCTCAGTTGATAGGTGGTGGCCGCAGAGCTCACTCAGGTCCATGGGAAGCTAAAACGAGTCCCAGTGATTCAGCACAAAGGCTCCAGTGAGCTGGGCAGCTGTATTTCTGGAAACACCAAACTCTAATAAAAAACCCGAATGTAAAAGCACGTAAGGTAGCAGGCTTTCTTTTTATCTTTCTTTGCACTAATAAATTCTGCACCTTATAAGTAGAGCACTTGACAGCTGGGAGAGTGTGTCCTAAGTCTCCCCTGGAAAGAATTTACGAGGCTAGACCAGGGCACCAGCTGAACAGACTTTGCCAGCAGGTCCTTGGAATGGGTAATGGAGGTGGACCTGGGAGTCATACTGGGCACCACCTCAGAGGGTTGGGCAGTTGATAACCAAACATTGCCAATAAAAACTTGTGGATTTTACATGGTGATGAAATCTTTTTTTTTTAAAATATCAATAATATTTTAAGCCTTTATTTGTTGAGAACTGGAATTTTTTTTTACCCTTATTTACTTTTATTTTTTATTGTTATGTTAATCACCATACATTACATCACTAGTTTTTGATGTAGTGTTCCATGATTCATTGTTTGTGCATAACACCCAGTGCTCCATGCAGAACGTGCCCTCCTCAATACCCATCACCAGGCTAACCCATCCTCCCACCCCCCTCCCCTCTAGAACCCTCAGTTTGTTTTTCAGTGTCCATCGTCTCTCATGGTTCATCTCCCCCTCCGATTTCCCCCCCTTCATTCTTCCCCTCCTGCTATCTTCTTCTTCGTCTTTTTTTTTTTTTCTTAACATATATTGCATTATTTGTTTCAGAGGTACAGATCTGAGATTCAACAGTCTTGCACAATTCACAGCGCTCACCATAGCACATACCCTCCCCAGTGTGTATCACCCAATCACCCCATCCCTCCCACCCCCCACTCCAGCAACCCTCAGTTTGTTTCCTGAGATTAAGAATTCTTCATATCAGTGAGGTCATATGATACATGTCTTTCTCTCTGTTTGACTTATTTCGCTCAACATAATACCCTCCAGTTCCATCCATGTCGTTGCAAATGGCAAGATCTCATTCCTTTTGATGGCTGCATAATATTCCATTGTATATATATACCACTTCTTCTTTATCCAGTCATCTGTCGATGGACATCTTGGCTCTTTCCACAGTTTGGCTATTGTGGACATTGCTGCTATAAACATCGGGGTGCACGTACCCTTTTGGATCCCTACTTTTGTATCTTTGGGGTAAATACCCAGTAGTGCAATTGCTGGGTCATAGGGTAGCTCTATTTTCAACTTTTTGAGGAACCTCCATACTATTTTCCAGAGTGGCTGCACCAGCTTGCGTTCCCACCAACAGTGTAGGAGGGTTCCCCTTTCTCCTCATCCCCGCCAACATCTGTCATTTCCTGACTTGTTAATTTTAGCCATGCTGACTGGTGTGAGGTGGTATCTCATTGAGGTTTTGATTTGGATTTCCCTGATGCCGAGCGATATTGAGCTCTTTTTCATGTGTCTGTTGGCCATTTGGATGTCTTCTTTGGAAAAATGTCTGTTCATGTCTTCTGCCCATTTCTTGATTGGATTCTTTGTTCTTTGGGTGTTGAGTTTGATAAGTTCTTTATAGATTGGTGATGAAATCTTCAAGAGAGTTAAGAGCTTAGGGGATCGGTGAGTTGTGCTTTGATTGTCTCCCAGAAAAAAATCAGTAATTTCTTTTTATTTTCTTTTTTTTATTATTATGTTATGTTAATCACCATACATTACATCATTAGTTTTTGATGTAGTGTTCCATGATTCATTGTTTGCGTATAACACCCAGTGCTCCATGTAGTACGTGCCCTCTTTAAAATCAGTAATTTCTAGTTCAGTTTCTTCAAACTCAGCTCAGTATTTAAGGAAAGGATCTTATTAGCAAACACTGTTTTGGTTTTGGTTTTGTTACCGCTCTTAGATAAACTTAGAAAAAGTGAGGATAGTGGCCTAATGGCTCCTCAGCCCGTACCCCATAGGACCCCTCCACCTGCCCAGTCGACTTTGATCCCAGCTTGTGGGATTCTAGCAGCTCTGGCAAAGTCATTCCAATAGCACCCTTCCAGTCTAAGGTAAGAGGGAAGATGAGGGTGGCCCTTTAAAAAAGAGACTGGTCTTCAGAAAAGATCATTTCCAACTACATCCCATGTTCTTTATGATTGTTCTTCTAGAAATGTGCCAGCACTCCTACTGTTGGAGATTTTCCCTCTCCTGGGAAGAGGAGAACATTTAGTTCAGCAGTGCTTCATCATCGACTCCCACCCCTTTCCCCTGACCCGCCTGCCATTGGGAAAGAGGGAA